CCAATTTCATCAGTTAAGGAAGACTTTGGTTTTAAATGCATTTTGGGCCTACTCACCCACTCAATTAGGGTGCAAATCGCTCGATTCGATTCAGAATTGAATCAAAGATAGAACTGGTCCAAATTAAAGGAAAATTGAGGATTACAATTGGACCAAAAGTATGTTTGGTTCATTTGATTCGATTTGGTATGATCCATATAAATTTTTGTCCATTTTTTCTTCATATTTAAAAGGTAAAATACACTTGTATAGCCAAAACATTCGTGTTTGTGACAATAATAGCCAATTTTGGAGAAACACCACTTATAGTCATTTTCGTCCAATTCTTTAATAGAGTTAGTGTCAAGTATGATTGGACAAGTGGAGATGCTGATGTGGCGAGGAGTTCGGGCCAATTTTATCTGTAAAAATCCACGTGGATTTAGAGAATGTAAAAAAATATTTATGGAGAAATGATGAGAAAAAAATTCTAAAATGAAGGAATAAAAATTTCAAATGATTTTTTTAATATAAATCCTTCCACTTAAGGATGGCAATTACCCTCCCATAGGTAATTATACCCAAACCCAAGTAGACCCATTGATAATGGGTTGGGTATGGGTGAAGTGCATATCGGTCTGGGGGTTCGTAAATGGGTTTGTGTAAGGTATGGATATAGCTTCCATAATCTAAATGAGTATGCGTTGGATATGGATATTCATTTACTTAAGGATATTTTAACTACATATACAAGAATTAGATGTATTTGTAAAACTTGAAAAGTTTAGGTACCAAAATGTAAGACCAAAAAGTTTAGGTACTAATATGTAATTTTCTATTGATATTTTGAGGACTTATTTACAAAAAATTAAATTTGGGTACTAAATATGCATATCAATAAAGTTTAGGTATCAAACTGTAATTTGCATTTGGCATGGGTGCAATGCTAAATCCATTTGTTAAAAACCCAACCCAACCTTAGTAAATAGATATGGGTACAAACCCATCAAACTCTACCCATATCCTTCTATTTGGGTTTCATACCCAACCTAATCAATTTGGATAGTAAAATACCCATGGGTATGGACAAAATTGTCCTCCCTACTTCCACTTCTTCTTACAGATTAAAAAAACTAGGGTAATGTCTATTTTTATCTAAATCTTTTTTAGATTCTTTTACATTGTCCAAACCTATTAAAATGTTATTAATTAGCCAAATGTTAACTTCCAGTTGGGAATTTTGTTAGCAATATTGACTTGGCAACATGATACTAACTTGGAAGAGACACATGAAGGTCAACATTACAAAATTTTAGTATTTTAACTTAGAAAATAGTTACAAAATTATTAATGATAATGTAAAAATGACTAATATTTTGATGCATTTCAAAAGATTTGGCTAATTAATAGTATTTTAATAGATTTGAATAATATAAAAGAATATGAAAAAGATTTGGATAAAAAATAAACATTACCCAAAAAACTAACTAAAAAATAAACTAAAGTAGACGCGTGACTATCCAACTTCCCCTCTTCCACAATCCCTGCCGAGTTCTGCACCAGCTCCAATCCAGCGACGAACTCCCTCCGTAGACTTGTGAACTCAACGATGACTCAGCAATCCATCCTAGGGGTGGGTATTTGGTAGGTTCGGAACCGAACGAGAATAATGCATACCGGGTCCCCGAATTTCATCAAACCTCAAACCGAATTCGAACCGAATTTGTGAGGTTAGCTTGTATCTTCTCTCTTTTAAATTATTTTTCACCCCTAGTGTAAACAATAAATATGCAATTATATGCATCATCAATGATAAAATCAAACATTTCAACACATAAGTCACAAAACACTAACATGATTCAGATATTTAAGTCTCATAACAAGTACAAACATAAAAATCCACCATTTGGAGCTTGTAATTATAGTTATTCGGTTATTCGGTTCGGAATTCAGAAATTGGGTTCGATCGAAAAGACCCTGATTTCCGAAATATACCCTTTTTCCTTTCGAATTTCGAACCAAATAACATTAATTCGGTTTCGGTTCAATTTATATTAGGTTCAATTTTACCGAACCGTATGCCCACCTCTAATCTATCCAAGTCGCACGAGGAAGAACCGCCAAGCAATTGGGTCAAAATCCGAATCCGGATCCTAAGAACGAGAAAAGATCCATGGCAGGCTGTAGAATTTGATGATGCGGAATTGAAACGAACACGAGACAAGGGATTTTACGTGGTATCCTCGATCGATTGATTGATCGAGACTAATCCACGGTGAGCTCATAAGAGCTCACGACTGATATTTTATTAGGGACTACATTGTGACGGCTTGCTATCACACAAGTCGATAGCTAAGCTTATATAGATAAACTTAGGGTTAAAACTCTAATCCAACAAATCAGACGAGGCCCAACAAGGCCCAATACTAACAAGGTTTAAGTAACCGCAACACTCCCCCTCAAGCGAAGACATAAATGACAAGAATGTCGAGCTTGAAGAAGTAAATGTGAAGAACAAGCATGATGACTTGAACCAAAAAACTCGAGATGAATAACATCTCGGACAAGGTTGATTGGAGACGACTGACTCTCTCTGAACAACCTGATGATGGAGACGATTGATTGCGTCTCTTGAACTTGAACACACCTGGTACATCGCGGTTGACCTGATGACTGAGTTAGTCGACCGGCGTATGTTGACCTCCTATTCTCCTCCTCAAGCTGGAGCATGACCATCGTGAATGCCCAGCTTGAAAAGTGATGAATGGTTGACATGTGCCCAATAATGAATCGGAAGAGGGGACGACCATTTCTTAGGTCGTGAATGCCAGCTGGACGATGAAGGGACGATGACTTCTCTGATCGTACTACCTTTTGAACGCCAGGGGACGACCATTTTATGGATCGTGAATGCCTCAATCGATACTTGACTATATTTGCTTGTAAAAATCTACAAACAAATAACTTGCCCAAAATCTAATTGAAGAGCTCATAAAAACCCTTACCAAATTAGATGTGGGAGCCCATAAGGGCCTATTTCAGCTATGGTTTCTGACTGCCCAATACAATATTGGGGAAACCCTTAAATGGGATAGCAATCCAGTGTCGCCCTCCTTTGTCCATCTCATCTCCCACTTCTCCTTTCCAATTTCACGTTCCTTTTTCTTCCTCCTCCAACTTGAGGAAACCACCTGGAGACGAAACACAAAGGATTACTCTGTCTACAGGCTGGGAATTGACGAGGAGGAAGGAGGCCCCAACGGCGGAGGTTTTACTGGAGATGGTGGAACCGCGGGACTTGAGACGCAATGGACGAGGAACCTGATCGACGATGGCGAAGTTGCGATCTGGAGCTGGAGACGATGGCGACGACGACATGGAGAGTGAGACCGTGAACGCTCGTGACTGGGCAACGACGGTGACCTGATATTGGATTCGGAGATGGAGCCAGGACGATGGCGGACTTGCGCGCAGCTGCGAGGCAATTTGGGAAGAAGCTCCGATCAGATGCTTAATGTGGACTGATTGACATGGTCAATTTAACTTGATGTCTTCTTCCCTGATGCTATGCAAGTGCCCCACCAAAAAAAACACTGCCATTATAAAATTGGACTGGGCTTAACACATCCACCGAAGGCAAGCATAGACATAGGCTTGCTTTACGGAGAAGGATGCACAATTAGGTCCAGCCTCAAAAGAAGGACGCCAATGAATCAGATGACGAATCGAACAGCTTTGCGACTTGTATCGCCATGGACGACAATGGACGACAGCGGAGTGATGATTTTGGTGCAGGCGAAGTGACGACCCGGACGGGAATTGCATTGGAACAGCTATGGGCAATTCCCTCGGTACTCATGGCGGCGGAAATAGACGTAGTTGATCTCGGAAAGAGACTGCGGAAGATTGCGAAACCCTGGTAGATCGAGGTTTTCTCTGATAGCATGTAGAATTTGATGATGCGGAATTGAAACGAACACGAGACAAGGGATTTTACGTGGTATCCTCGATCGATTGATTGATCGAGACTAATCCACGGTGAGCTCATAAGAGCTCACGACTGATATTTTATTAGGGACTACATTGTGACGGCTTGCTATCACACAAGTCGATAGCTAAGCTTATATAGATAAACTTAGGGTTAAAACCCTAATCCAACAAATCAGACGAGGCCCAACAAGGCCCAATACTAACACGGTTTAAGTAACCGCAATATCCAACATAACCTTCTGTGACCGAGAGGTATTGTGTTCGATTCCCGGTGACCCCCATTTGTTAAGCACATGGTATTCTTGTCTTCAGACCTGTGCAAACTTCAAACCCTTGTGAGTGACTTTCGTTTGAGGGGGCGTGTTAGTGTTGTGGTACATGATTCACGATTGAACTTCTCCCAACAACTCGAGTAATTGGGACCAACTGGTTTATGACATGGTATCAGAGCTGGTTGTCCGTGAGGTCACGTGTTCAAGTCCTCACGGCCCCCAATATTAACCGTTGTCTTTCAAGCACATGGTATGGCGGGCCTGTGCAAACTTCAAGCCCATGAGTCGGCTTTCGTTTGAGGGGGCGTGTAAGGAAGTGGTTAAGCACCATACACGGGCCTGTATCATATCCAACATAACCTTCTCCCAACAACTCGAGTTATTGGGATCAACTGGTTCTTGACATGGTATCAGAGCCTTCTGTGACCGAGAGGTATTGTGTTCGATTCCCGGTGACCCCCATTTGTTAAGCACATGGTATTCTTGTCTTCAGACCTGTGCAAACTTCAAACCCTTGTGAGTGACTTTCGTTTGAGGGGGCGTGTTAGTGTTGTGGTACATGATTCACGATTGAACTTCTCCCAACAACTCGAGTTATTGGGATCAACTGGTTTATGACACAGGCAATCAGTGTCTTCCGCATCGTGACCCGGATAGATTCTATTTCAACCAATGTCAATTTCCTTTCTACAAATACCTTCACCAAATAGTTTTCCCAATTCACTCATTCACATCTATGCTTCTCCAAATTAGCTCACCCGCTCAAATCTTTCTAGATCTGTTGAGGTAATCACCAAGCCGGGGATTCGCCGCCTCGCTCGCAGAGGTGGAGTGAAGAGGATCAGAGGGCTGATTTACGAGGAGAGTCGCGGCGTTCTCAAGATCTTCTTGGAGAATGTCATTCGTGACGCTGTGACCTACACCGAGCACACCCGGCGCAAGACGGTGACGGCGATGGAGAGAGATGGCAAACTCCGGCGGGGCGCTTACTGGAGCTCTAACGGATTATCTGCAATCAATTAATGGCGATGGCGATGGGGGGAGAGGACAAATAGATAATAAAAAATAAAAAAAAAAGAATCAGGGTGGTGGGTTGCTGGATTTTTTCCCATAATACACACGTTTTTTTAAAAAAAAAACCTCAAAATACACACGTTTTATGAAAAATTGCCAAACATGTGTAGATTGAGAATTTTTCATAAAATGTGTGTATTTTGAAAAATATTTTTTAAAAAAACATCAAAATACACACGTTTTATGAAAAATTGCCAAACATGTGTAGATTGAGAATTTTTCATAAAATGTGTGTATTTTGAAAAATATTTTTAAATACATGTTTATTTTGGGATTTTTTGGTCGGTTGTTGGGGCAGAAGAAATGCTTGGAAGTAGAGGAGATTAGGGATATGGAAACAATAAGGGGAAAATGTGTTCTTTTTGTTTATTAATGTTTATTTTTTATTTAATATTAATTAATATAAAATAAATTACAAATAAGCATTTTTTTTCTTTTAGTTGTCATGTCAGCACTTTTGATTTATTTGGCGCTGACGTGTGTGCTAAGTGGCTGCCTAGTCAGTGAACCGTCAAAGAAGTTGAAGGTGTTACTAACACAGTTAAAGTATTTAACGAAATGACTATATTTGTTCTATAATAACTACAAAATCTGGTTATAATTAGTATTTCTCCAAATTTGGCTATTATTGTCACAAACGCGAAAGTTTTGACTATACAAATGAATTGCGCCTATTTAAAATTATTTATTTATAGCACCAATACCAAATCGAAATATATTTGATCTCATCCACTCCAAATATCGATTCGATATAATTTAATCCGGTGTGGATCGAATCATTGCGCACCCCTACCTGCCTACCCTTCCTTCCGTACACCGTTCTATCTCAAACCTAAAAGTTGTTGCTAAGCTTATTGAGACAATTTGCAGACCAGAATTACGCAATTTCTGGCCACGTGTGTGCTAATACTGAACAGAAGAATCCTTGGTTCTGTCAATTTCCTAACTTCTATGGGATCTGCAGTTCAGTTCCCAAACATGGGGGATTCCTAGATTCGATTCCAAGAATTGTTGTCCCTGATGGGCGATTTTTGATAACCATGTAGATATGGAATGAATGAGAACATTTCTTGAGCTGGTCCAACATTATTTCTAGGGTAATTACATGTGTTGAAGACTTGAAGGACGATAATGGAAGTTGTTCTGCATGAATTGAAAATTTAATTTGTCGATGAAATAAATCAATATTTAACATATATATAAAGAATAAGAGTAAATATAATATATTTGCCAGAATCAGTAGCAGACCCCGTAATTTTACATAGGGATGTCCACTTTCAAAAAATAAAGTAAAATAAAAAATTAATAATTAATAAAAATTATATTATTATTAGATAAGAAAATACCCAACTCGTACAATTTAAAAAATGTCAATGATGTATTTTCATATTCTAAAAAAATTATAAAATACACTTAGTGTCTACAATGCTCAACAAATTTGTCTCCGTATATCCTACTAGACAATCATTCAAGAACTAACGCATGTTTGACTTCTAAATTTGTTCATGATGTAACTCACAGCTGAAAAAACACTTTCAACACCTGTCATACAACCATAAAATCAATACAAATTAAGGGTAGCTTGTAATCAAATTAATTATTAGATTTTGAAAATAATTAAAGATAGAGAATAGGCTTTTGCTATTACACAGTGTTTAGAATATAACAACAAAAAAGTTGTAGCCTAATGGAAATTATATTTATTAGTAATAGTAGTGTACCGGGTTTGATTTACCCAAATTACCACTTATATTCTCATGCGCAAACTACAAATGAGAGTAGTATAATCGTTCTTTCAAATTTTAGTGTGTCCCAGACTATTAATTATAATTTTTTTTGTCTATACGTAAATTACCACCGGGGGTTTGCTAATCGATCTTCCAAAATTTAGGGGTGTCCCGGGACACCCCTAAATGTCCCTGGGTCCGCCCCTGGCCAGAACTATTATGCAACGGGGAATTATAGCCCCAACTATCGAATTACAAACTATTAGCCAACCGTTAAGTCTCTGTTAACACTTTCGTTTGATAATAGTGAGTTGGCATATGCTACGCTAATGTGGAAGAGATACTATACGTGACAATCAATGAAAATGCCACATAAGTCGGTCACCCTTTGTAACTTATTAATTAATTCATTACTAAAAACTAAAAATCACCTCTTGCCCTACAAAAACCTTGCCCGAAAACCCTTCATCTGCTCCAAAACAGTCCAAACACCATCTTCTTCCTCTCAAAAAGAGACCTGGGGCCGCACCCACAGATGTCGCCCTCCACACCCGTCAACGTCAATGAATGCAACAAGTTCTAAGACTTTCTAGGGAAACCCTCGAATTTCTTGTCTAGGAAAACAAGGGGATAAGGCGGAGGTAACCGATTCTTCGAGATTTGGGAGGTGGAGGAACAGATGTACGACGAGACACCGAATTTGACCGTGGCGACGGTTTCTTTCTTCCGCTGATTTGGTCGACGATGATGGGCAACGAAGTCAATCTAGAGGAAGGAAGACGTAGGTGGAGACTGGCGGAAGAGTGCGGCCGGGCGGATCTGTGATCTTCACCGCTGGGCTACGACGGGCGGATATGACTGGACGAAGGTGTGGCGGTCGTGATGGCAACGACGGAAAATTGGAGAGGAGTCTCGATGATGACAGAACCCGGTGGCGGCCGTGGTCTAGAGAGAAGGACGACAGTGGTCATGACTTAGCAACATCGACGTTCGATCTTTATTCCGGTAATCCCCTCGAACAAGCTCAGCTCATGCAGATCGAAAGTAAGGAATTCTTCGAATTGACGAGAAGGTCCATCGGCTCTGGAAGACTGCTTCACCGAGGACTAGGTTGGAGTTGACGACCCTCATCTTTGCTTCAAAAAAAATAAGGTTCTTGAGAATAGGGGATTTTCCCTAAACCCGAATATGAGGTGAAGGGAGTTACGGTGAGAACGAAAGAGAAGGATTGAATGGAAGGTGAGTGGGTGGTCGCTTTTGTGGATTGGTATTGTTGGCAGTGGATTTGAAAGAAGAAGGAGATGGAGAAGAGTAGGGGAGAAAGCGTAGGAGGAAGAAGATGAGGGGATATGTTTTTAGTTTTTTAATTATAAATCAAAATTAATCTGACGTGGCAGTCTACGTTAAAAATTTAATAACGGTAAGGGGTTGTTAGCCATATCTTGCCCGCAACAATAGTTATGGCTAATAATTTGTATTTAGATAATTGCGTGTTGACACCTAAAATTAATTTGACCGGAATTAAATGCAGCATTAATTAGTCTCGGCATTTAATTCGATACCGCGGGTAAAAAACGGTGTCGTTTGGAGTCGAGCGGTATCGCGGGAAGTTAAAACGATACCGCGAAACAGAAAAACGGTACCGCAAGGAAGCTCAGCGGTACAGCAACACCGGAAACGACACCGTTGGCCGAAAATAAAAAAGGGTCGCGCGTTTAATGAAGGTTGGAGGAGGAGTTTTGATTATTTAATTATTATTTATATTCCTTGTTGGATCGGGAGAAGCGGCACCGCGGAGAGCTAAAACGGTGCCGCGGAATTAAAAACGGTACCGCGAGGAAGCCCAACGGTACCGCTATACTAGCAAACGACAGTGTTTAATAATAAACAGTGTCGCGGAAGAAAAAAACAAACGGAGCTGGTTGGGAAAGAAAACGACACCGCAAGGCTGGAAGCGGAGTCGTTTAATATTAAAACGATGTCGCGGGTAGAATCAAGCGGAGCTGTTTGGGAAAGGAAACGACATCGCGGGATCATGAAAACAATTCACGTAAAGTTCACGCGAAGCAGTTTGAGGAGCGAAGCGGTTGAGACACGTGGGATTTCACAACGGAGCAGTTGAGGAAGCGGTTCCACCGAGCGTGAAGACTACGAAGCAGTTTTTCGAATAAAAGCAGTGGAGCAAGGAGAGAGAAAGAGACAACGAAATCAACACAGAAACACATCTGTCAAACTTTACCTTTTTTCCCTGTAACTCCTTCGCGGAGCTCTCCTTCCAGGAAGGATCTCCATAGTTGTAGTCTTAGTCGTAGTCGCGGAGCTCTCCACAGGAATCTCCATAGGAGTAGCAGTAGCGTAGATTCCTCAAAAACTCAAACACCCTCGTTCGAACGTAGTTTGGAGAGGTGTGAACCGTAGTCACAGTCGTCTTGATTAGAAGTCAGTGGCGCATCAATTCGATCAAATCAACATCGTCGTTTGGCACGCCGGCGGTGGTATTTGGTCAGAAGATAGTGGTGCATCCGTTCAATCGCACCGCAATAGTTTCCACCGCGAAATATTAAATCAACATCGCCGGGAACAAGTTCGGCACCGGCGGTGGTATTTGATTTTCCGGAGGAAACATTTTGGCACGCCCGGTGGGACACGTGTGTTTGATATGGCTCTGCGACGAGGAAAAGAAGATTGTGGTCTTCGACAATGATCCATGGCGGAGGCTCAAATGATCAACATCGAGATTGACGATGTTGTTGGCGGCTCAAGCAACAACGCTGGAGCGGAGGTGCAATCAGTGGCACGAGTCTCCGATCAGGGTGAGATGCTGCGCATACTCCGCCAAGTAGTGGCTGAACTCAGCAGAGATAGACAACAGGTAAATCTAATTTTAACTTCTCTTGATAAAAAAATGGATAATCTTGAAAAAAACATAGATCAATGGTTTGATAAGTTGGACGACTCTGTTTCTGATTTTAATATGTCAATACGTGGAGCCACGTATGATTTTGATGTGTTTAAATCTCGAACCATGTCTGTTGTGTGTGAGGATGCGAGGGTTGGTCAAATAGCTAATGTCAACCAAACTCCATCATCGATGGCTAAAACATTGTTGCCAGAAGTGAGTGAATCCAATGTGTTCTTTTCTGTGAACAACGTTGTTTTAAAGGACACACCAATTGGAAGTGGCTTGCAAAAGCCACTACAAAGAAGTCAGTATCGACTTAC